GACCGGCACGCCCAGCATCCTCGGCATCGCTGTCTTTCTGCTTCCAGATCAAGCCTTCGACCAAAGCTCTGCAACCTGGGCCTCCTTGTCGAAGATAATAACACTGTGCAACCGAGCTGAGTTCAGACCCGGCCAGGAGAGCGTCCCCGTCATGAAGGTGAAGGGTCCGCACGTGTGGTCATCCGTCACAGCCTTTCTCTGTTCTGACTTGGTGCTTGACTTAATCTCTCCAACTGAGTAAAGTCTGAACTGTATGAGCAAGTCTAATCATGAGACCTGCAGGAAACTTCTTTCACTGTAACTTGCTCTGAGAAATCTAAGAGTCCTCAGAATGTTCATTTAGGCCTTTTGAAAATTCTGTTTCATTCCAGAAAGTGAATGTGCCTTTAAGTTACTTTCCTAACTTCTTTACTAGCCTAGAAGATATAATCAAAGTTTCTTTATTATGCAAGTGCCATTCAGCAGTTCAAACATAATGGGATGGAAATAGAAGGACTGGCCTCAGAGCACCGTCCTCTCGGAGCTCTGGTGTGTAGCTGCACTTCCAAACACAAACTCTCCCCTCCCCTCCATCCTCCTCCTTGCCTCTGTCCCTCTCAGTGAGTTGCTAGGCTGTGTTCTCCTGGCTTTTCCACATACCATCTGTTTCCTTCATTGACTCTTACTTTCTTATGTTTTCTGTTTGCTTTTCTTTCTCTATCAGCCCCCTCTAATTCTCCTTTTGGCCAGTCACTTCTCTGTCTCTATCTTTCAAATCCTTGTCTCCAGTTCTGATTTCTCACCCAAACTCCATGGGTCTCCAGATAGCTGTGAGTTTCCACCTGGAAGTGTGAATGTTAGGCTCTCAACAGATTATACTTGGGCCCTTCCACCTGTACCCAGACTGGCTCCACATTAATATCTTGTCCCAAATTTTCTGTTTTTCTATGGCAGAATCATTTTACTTGTCACCCAGGCCCAAATATTTTGAAGCCATCTTTACCTTTCTCCTTTCCAAATAGCTAATGCA